TATAGCTGTAACAATTCCGTGATATTGTAAGAAATTTGCTCTAACACCATATTTTTCTCTTAATTCAAAAAAACTGAAGAAGTTGTTGTTATCCTTTTTTAAGTCATTAACTACTACAACTCCCTTCCTATACCAATCCTTATAAAAAACACTATTATTATCTATTTTGATTTTTTCGTTTAACCATATAGGCATGTCGGAGATCTGTTTTGAATCTGTATATTTTTCCTCAAGAATAGTAAGATTTTTCCATGCAAGAAAGACATCTTTCCAGAAAAGATTTTTACAGTTATTATGACAAAAGGAAATATAGTCTGGTCCACAGTTTACAAGAAGGTTTTTATCAATATTTGAATTAAAAATAATTTGCCATGTTCCTGTTGTTGAGAGTAATCTTCTAATCCAAGTTAGTTTTAATGAGTCTACAAATGATTTAATATGAATCATTTTGAGACCACCATCAGAAAAAGTTTTTAATAATTACATCTCTTTTAATTTTATCAATCTTACTATTCCAGAGGAAATTATATATTTCTGTATTTATCTTTTTGTCAAATGTATTATCATTATTTGGTAAAGCGATAAATAACTGATTAAATTGAGAAATTAGGATAGACTTTATTATATTTATTCTCCCTATTGGTGTAAGAATTCTCCTACTCCAAGTCTTCATCAAAGCTTTAAGTTTTACTAGTTTTTTATCAAAATTTATTTTTGGAATACGATCTAGATCAACATGAAAATCAATACCCAGAAGTGTAAACCTTGTATGTCCCCACTGTAAATTCCATTCATTAGCCATAACCTCATCACTATATTTTTTACTCCCTATCCAAACTACTTCGGTTTTTCCCAAATTCATTTTTAATCCGGATATTTTTCAAAGTATTTTAATTCTTTTATAGATTCTCTAAGTGACATTTCTGATCCGTCCAGAATTAAAGATGTGTCGTCTGCATATTGTGAAAGTAAAATAGTTTGTTCAGCTTCGAGTACTTTTAAGCCTTTGATATTCTTGTTATTTCTTAATTTGATTGCCAAAATTTCCGAACAGAGGATAAAAATATAAGGTGATATCTGATCACCTTGTCGGCAACCCCTTTTTATATCAAAGAATTTTGACAGATTCCCCCCCTGATTAATTGCCGAATTAGAGTTTTTTTGAAAAGTTTGAACAAACTTGGTAGTCCTTCATCCCAGCATGCTACAGGCCTAATTTCAGTACCCTGGACCTTTTGGTTATTGAGAAGTTGTTTGAAGATTTTAAAACATTTGACCCCTGTAACCTTGAAAGCTGGTCAAGACCATTCATTTGAACAAGCTTGGTAGCCCTTCATCCCAGCATGCTACAGGCCCAATATCAGTACCCTGGGCGTTATGGTTATTGAGAAGAAGGCGTTTGAAGATTTTAAGACATCTCACCCCAGTGAGCTTGAAAGTTTGTCAAGGTCATACATTTAAACAAACTTGTTAGCCCTTCATCCTAGCATGCTACAGGCCCAATATCAGTACCCTGGGCCTTTTGGTTATTGAGAAGAAGTTGTTTGAAGATTTTAACATAGTTGACCCCTGTGACCTTGAAGGGGGGACAAGGTCATTTATTTGAACAAACTTTGTAGCCCTTCATCCCAGCATGCTACAGGCCTAATATAAGTTCCCTGGGCCTTTTGGTTATTGAGAAGAAGTTGTTTGAAGATTTTAACATAGTTGACCCCTGTGACCTTGAAAGTGGGTCAAGGACATTCATTTGAACAAACTTGGTGGCCCTTCATCCCAGCATGCTACAGGCCTAATATCAGTACCCTTGGCCTTTCGGTTATTGAGAAGAAGTTGTTTGAAGATTTTAACATAGTTGACCCCTGTGACCTTGAAAGTGGGTCAAGGTCATTCATTTGATCAAACTTGGTGGCCCTTCATCCCAGCATGCTACAGGCCTAATATCAGTACCCTTGGCCTTTCGGTTATTGAGAAGAAGTTGTTTGAAGATTTTAACATAGTTGACCCCTGTGACCTTGAAAGTGGGTCAAGGTCATTCATTTGATCAAACTTGGTGGCCCTTCATCCCAGCATGCTACAGGCCTAATATAAGTTCCCTGGGCCTTTTGGTTATTGAGAAGAAGTTGTTTAAAGTAAAAGGTTGATGCCGGACAGACGGACGACGGACGACGGACGCCGCACCATAACATAAGCTCACTTGCCCTTCGGGCAGGTGAGCTAAAAACCTTACCATCCCATTTCCATGAATCAAGGACACTACAAATTCCATTTTTGACTTCTAATTCCTGCATGGCCTTGGTCACTAAATTGTTCAGTACACTTTCATCATCATCAACTATAAAAAAACAACACAAAAAGACATAGTTAGTACAATATATGTTTTGACCCCTACAACACAAAACCATATAAAACATGATCCCTGAAACAAAAACTCTCTTGATGTTATTGCCCCTAAAACACAATACCATATATAATGTGACCTCTAAAACTCATTGCCTAAAACCCCTGTCACACTAGGGCTGCGTTCCCACGGCGTCCAAGAAAAATCCAGAACACCAAGCAACGTCCGCACTTTGACCAAGCCCAAAACAAACGCCGTCGCTTAGCATTCTGATAAGAGCGCAGTGTGATCACCGTAGCAGCGCAGTTATGTCTCCTACATTGTCACAGGATCGCCGCGGGTGCGCACAGAGGTCGTAGTGCGAACGCAATGGTTATCGGTGGCGCTTGCACGGCGATAGTACGGCGTTCTCTGAGATGACACTGTGTCTCTACCGTGCTTATACATGCTGTGGCAACTCGATGCACGCAGTGGAAGCGCCGTGAGAGCGCAGACAATCGTTAACTAAAACTCCGTAGGAACGCCATGAAGCTCCGTAGAAACGCCAAGGTCGCTGTGAAAACGCTGTGACATCGCCATCTTCATGAAAAATATAAATTTTTCCTGTGATCTCACGGTGCTCTGGGAAATTTACCAACACCGTGCAATCGCAGTGGCAACGCGGCTAGGTGTGACAGGTGTATTATATGCTGTGACCCCAACAACACAATACCATATGTGTTGTCAGCCCAGGATATATGGGTTTGTTTTTGGAAGGCTGTAACGCTTACTGATCCATACTGTAAATGAGACCTCGACACAGCAGACATACATCTTACCTTTAGGGGGAAGGACGCAGTAGGCAATGATGTCCCTTAGGGCTCTGACCTTGAGGTTGTCAGCCTTGACCTTCTGAGGTGAGGGTTCCAAACTATCCTTGGTATCTTCTATACTAGTTTGTCTACAACACAGTGAAGGGTTTACAATATTTCTGTATCTTAAAATTGTAGTTACATGATTAGGGAATTGTTTTCATTCAATCTTTATATAACCATCATAAAACAACACTAATATAATTCTAACTATAACAAATTGATGACAAGCAGCTGAAATTCTTCAATGAATACACAAAGTAATATTTCTCCTTTTGACAAATACATGTTTCATATGAAGGTTTTTGCAATGTCTTGATAATGTAAGCACTGTTTTACAAGAAAGTCAGTATACATGCTGCACATGGTCGAACTAGAAATTCTTCATTTTAGACAAAGTTTTGGAGACAGAAACACAGTAAGTAAGGTCTCACAAAGCTCTACTCTAAACTTATTCTAACTTGTAATGTCATATGTGATGTACATCTATACAATTTGTGTATCCTTGACCTTGGCCTATATTTTATCTGTGAGTTATACACAATACCCTCAAGTCACAATACCTGGTAAACAAACCTACAGAGTTTCAATAGAAATTACTGCATACTTCCCACCTCTCACAATGGAAAACTGTGGGCAATAAATCACTTGCTACCACAGTCCACTGCACACATAATCCCCTTTCATGGCTAATCATGATTACATGACCATGAAAAGGGGTGTGCCCAGTGGACTGTGGTCACAAATGCTGTAAGAAAGGGGAGATAATCAATAAGAAGGTAAAGATGAAGTCAATACAGTGGAAAGGATAAACTTAATTGACACATTCAAAATATGAAAAATAACAAAAATAAAGTTAAAAATGGTAATTTCATGATTGAAAAACAAACAAAACGAATGAGTTGGCAGCGTTATTGATTTCCTTATCACGTGACAGGATAAGCATTTCCTGGAAAAGTTTATAAACTTTAGAAGCTGTTTCTTTATACAAAATTGTTCATTCAAATATACCATTCATTGAAAGAAATGGAATTCCTTAGGGATTGATAAACCCTTACATTGTATGTATGAAAATGGTTTCAATATCCTGTACCTTTGCCACATCTTGAAAATTAAACTGAAAATGTAGTCAGAAATTCAACGTTGTTTCCCGTATTTTGAACAGACACTCCTTACCTTCCCCGACACTGGACCTGGATAGTAATCCAAAAACACTTGTATCCATTATGAAGGATACACTCAGACTGGGCTATTGAGAATAAAGACAAACTTACCTGGTTCTGATTAGTACTCACTCACACAGGTACATGTAAATTATCTGCAGTGTAGGGTAGGTAAAAAGATTGTCCAGGTGAACATTTTTTACTCAATTTTTCTGTTTTGTTCGAGTTGGGAAGCATGCAGTAAGCCAGTTATTGCATGATTTCTCGTCACTCGGGACTTATTACACCCTCGCTTCGCTCGGGTGTAATAAATCCCTTGTTACTCGAAAACCATGCAATAACCTTTACATGTTCTTCAGTTCAGAAGCTAATCTGGACAAGCACTGCACTGATTTGACCTTTCACCCTTTTCTGCAGACTATATATGTTGGATACCTGTATATGTTACATGATACAATGTCTTGTCATAATATCTTTTGAAATTTCATCAAGTTATGACCAGTGGTTCAAAGGTAATGGTTCAGTCAACCACTGCAGTGATTTGAACTTTAACCCCTTGTCCTGACCTTGCCATTGAGGGTACAGACATGTGTATGGTATGCGACACACTGTCTTGTCATAATACACATAACTGTTGTCAAAACATGTGAACACGGTGAACTCACCTTAATTTCCGTTTGCGAAATATCGGGTTTTCTGTGTCTGTGAGAGGTTTGAGTGTGACATTGTTATCCGGTATCCTCATGGTTGTTAGGTGCTGAGAGTGTGCTAACTTGATGTCCTCCATCCCAATCTGTACAATTACAATTTAGGTCAGATTACCTTTTGTCTTCAATTTTATATATTTTTGTTAAAATATACACATCTTACTTTTTATAAAAGAAAGTAATTCGTAAGATTACATACTAATCCAAGTTTTTTTCTTCTTTTGAGTTTCAAATGCTTCATTTTCCCAGCAATTTTAATAAGGGAACAATTTAATGAGACATGCTCAAGTTTGTTATATTCATTTTTTAACGACAAATGTTTCAAAACCTATGTATGGATGTTGATTGCCTAGTAAGGATGCTGAGTGGAGGTTTGTCTACCTTGTCCATGAACACAGCAGGTGATTGTAGCTTGTTGTCTGGAGCTTCGTTTAACCAGGGATGGCCAAGTAATTCCTGGATGTTCATTCTGAATGAGGGATCTACATGCAGTAAACTGTAAACAGAAAATAACATTTGTATGTGTGCATTCATAAAAAGCTTATACTGTAGCTTACACTATTTCTTATACCTACTTAAGTGTGTATAACTTCTACCAGAATTTTTCCTATATATCAACTTACAGGCCATCCACTATTTTTACATATCAATTATTGCCTCAAACAAATTCCTACATGGCCTGACTGACTCATCAGTTGTAAACCAATACACTTGACAAATGGTGGTAAAAAGGAATTCCACTATCTGTGATCGTTGTCTACCATGTATATCTAAACTCCAATTAAATATTTTTCAAAGTTAAAGGAGAAAAACTCCCTTATAAGCTTGTTTGTCTTCTTTGCAAAATTTGAAAATTGATTCACATGGTATTTGATAAACAAGAGACATGCTATGTGAAACCTCTATATACCACTCGTGTTTGGTACAATGTGAAACCTCTATTTACTACTCGTGTTTGGTACAATGGGAAACCTCTATATACCACTCCTGTTTGGTACAATGTGAAACCTCAATATACCACTCGTGTTTGGAACAATATGAAACCTCTATATACCACTCCTGTTTGGTACAATGTGAAATCTCTATATACCACTCGTGTTTGTTACAATGTGAAACCTCTATTTACTACTCGTGTTTGGTACAATGGGAAACCTCTATATACCACTCCTGTTTGGTACAATGTGAAATCTCTATATACCACTCGTGTTTGTTACAATGTGAAACCTGTATATACCACTCGTGTTTGGTACAGTGTGAAACCTCTATGTACCACTCGTGTTTGGTACACTGTGAAACCTCTATATACCACTCGTGTTTGGTACAATGCATAAACAGTGAAGTCTAAACCCTAGAAAAGTCCCCTGACTCGGGTACATTGCCAATCAGGTTAAAATCAACCCCTTAGCCTTTTACCGTGATTTTTTAAAGCTAGATGGACATACCAAAAGTACACACAGACTTGACAGCCATTCCTGTAGTACAGGTAACATGATTTTAATCTCTCAGCTATTCCTACAATATGTTCATACATTACCAATACAGACACAGTATTATATCTACCTTTTCACAACATCTTTAGCAGAATCTGAGATAAACTGCCAGTCATCCTCTGGGAACTCGTACTGTCCTGAGAGAATCTTCTTCCTCATGGCGGACGTGATCTGTCTGGTGGGTGTCTCAGAGTAGAAGGGAGGGTAACCACACAACATGATGTACAGAATCACTCCCATACTCCACATGTCACAGCTCTGGAAATATATCTTTTTCTGTTGCATTGTCTAAAATAACTTTTGTTCATCGTCATATCTTATATATATGTATTGTTTGGATATGTGTATTTCTTAACTTACCTAAGATAAAGTATTACATTATTTAATTGATTGGTAGGTGTGTATTGTATGGTATAAACTGTATTGTTTGAGGCTAGTATTGTTCGGTAACCCACCTTATTGTAGCACATTTTTTTAGGCTAGTATTGTTCCGTAACCTACCTTATCAGTGGTGTGCTGTTTTAGGCTAGTATTGTTCCGTAACCTACCTTATCAGTGGTGTGCTGTTTTAGGCTAGTATTGTTCCGTAACCTACCTTATCAGTGGTGTGCTGTTTTAGGCTAGTATTGTTCCGTAACCTACCTTATCAGTGGTGTGCTGTTTTAGGCTAGTATTGTTCCGTAACCTACCTTATCAGTGGTGTGCTGTTTTAGGCTAGTATTGTTCCGTAACCTACCTTATCAGTGGTGTGCTGTTTTAGGCTAGTATTGTTCCGTAACCTACCTTATCAGTGGTGTGCTGTTTTAGGCTAGTATTGTTCCGTAACCTACCTTATCAGTGGTGTGCTGTTTTAGGCTAGTATTGTTCCGTAACCTACCTTATCAGTGGTGTGCTGTTTTAGGCTAGTATAGTTCCGTAACCTACCTTATCAGAGGTGTGCTGTTTTAGGCTAGTATAGTTCCGTAACCTACCTTATCAGAGGTGTGCTGTTTTAGGCTAGTATAGTTCCGTAACCTACCTGATCAGAGGTGTGCTGTTTTAGGCTAGTATAGTTCCGTAACCTACCTTATTGTAGGCGTGCTGTTTTAGGCTGGTATTGATTAGTTACCTACCTTATTGTAGGCGTGCTGTTTTAGGCTGGTATTGATTAGTTACCTAACTTATCGTAGGTGTGCTGTTTTAGGCTGGTATTGATTAGTTACCTAACTTATCGTAGGTGTGCTGTTTTAGGCGGGTATTGATAAGTTACCTACCTTATCATAGGTGTGCTGTTTTAGGCTAGTATTGTTTGATAACCCACCTTATTATAGTATATTGTTTTTTCGGCTGGTATTGATAAGTTACCTACCTTATCATAGGTGTGCTGTTTTAGGCTAGTATTGTTTGATTACCCACCTTATTGTAGTATATTGTTTTAGGCTAGTATTGTTTGATAACCAACCTTATCGTAGGTGTATGGTTTTAGACTAGTATTGTTTAGTTACCTACCTTATCGTAGGTGTATGGTTTCGAGGTCGGTATGATTCCTCTCTTCTGCTTTGCTTGATATTTATGAGCTTCTAAAACCTGGAATACAAACATTTTTACGTGCATAATTATCTCACAATATCTGGAAAATTTTGGATCCATTTCACAGACTTCATTGCAATTCTGATCTTATCTCACAATATCTTGAATGTCAAGAACTTTAAAGTTTTGTGTGTAATATTCTGAGTTTTTTAAAAACACATATAAAGCTGCCAGGTACACTTGTACACATAATGCTAACACATATGAATGTGATTAAAAGTAAAAACAGAAAACTGTTTCAAAGATATTTCATGATCTTGCGTACATATCCCAAAAATATCTTATCTAAACTAAGTCTAGTAAACAGCATTATCAACAACACACCTGTGGAGCTACGTAGTAGGGGGTAAAGTGAGGTGTTTGTAGATTTCCATCGTCGATTTTAGCAAATCCAAAATCTGTCAGTTTCACCAAACTATCCTGGAAAAGTAAGTAACATTTATCTATTATGTAGGGTAAAGTAAGTAACATTTATCTATTATGTAGGGTAAAGTGAGTAACATTTATCTATTATGTATGGTAAAGTAAGTAACATTTCTCTATTATGTAGGGTAAAGTAAGTAACATTTATCTCTTATGTAGGGTAAAGTAAGTAACATTTATCTCTTATGTAGGGTAAAGTAAGTAACATTTATCTCTTATGTAGGGTAAAGTAAGTAACATTTATCTCTTATGTAGGGTAAAGTAAGTAACATTTATCTATTTTGTAGGGTAAAGTAAGTAACATTTATCTATTACGTAGGGTAAAGTAAGTAACATTTATCTATTACGTAGGGTAAAGTAAGTAACATTTATCTATTATGGAGGGTAAAGTAAGTAACATTTATCTATTATGGAGGGTAAAGTAAGTAACATTTATCTATTATGGAGGGTAAAGTAAGTAACATTTATCTATTATGTATGGGAAAGTAAGTAACATTTATCTATTATGTATGGCAAAGTAAGTAACATTTATCTATTATGTAGGGAAAAGTAAGTAACATTTATCTATTATGTATGGGAAAGTAAGTAACATTTATCTATTATGTATGGGAAAGTAAGTAACATTTATCTATTATGTATGGCAAAGTAAGTAACATTTATCTATTATGTAGGGAAAAGTAAGTAACATTTATCTATTATGTAGGGTAAAGAAAGTAACATTTATCTATTATGTAGGTAAAGTAAGTAACATTTATCTATTATGTATGGCAAAGTAAGTAACATTTATCTATTATGTAGGGTAAAGAAAGTAACATTTATCTATTATGTAGGTAAAGTAAGTAACATTTATCTATTATGTAGGGTAAGGTAAGTAACATTTATCTATTATGTAGGGTAAAGAAAGTAACATTTATCTATTATGTAGGGTAAAGTGAGTAACATTTATCTATTATGTATGGTAAAGTATGTATAATTTATCTATTATGTATGGTAAAGTAAGTAACATTTCTCTATTATGTATGGTAAAGTAAGTAACATTTTTCTATTATGTATGATAAAATAAGTAACATTATCTATTATGTATGGTAAAGTAAGTAACATTTCTCTATTATGTATGGTAAAGTAAGTAACATTTTTCTATTATGTATGATAAAATAAGTAACATTATCTATTATGTATGGTAAAGTAAGTAACATTTTTCTATTATGTATGATAAAATAAGTAACATTATCTATTATGTATGGTAAAGTAAGTAACATTTATCTATTATGTATGGCAAAGTAAGTAACATTTATCTATTATGTAGGGAAAAGTAAGTAACATTTATCTATTATGTATGGCAAAGTAAGTAACATTTATCTATTATGTAGGGTAAAGAAAGTAACATTTATCTATTATGTAGGGTAAAGAAAGTAACATTTATCTATTATGTAGGTAAAGTAAGTAACATTTATCTATTATGTATGGCAAAGTAAGTAACATTTATCTATTATGTAGGGTAAAGTGAGTAACATTTATCTATTATGTATGGTAAAGTATGTATAATTTATCTATTATGTATGGTAAAGTAAGTAACATTTTTCTATTATGTATGATAAAATAAGTAACATTATCTATTATGTATGGTAAAGTAAGTAACATTTCTCTATTATGTATGGTAAAGTAAGTAACATTTATCTATTATGTATGGTAAAGTATTTTTTCAGATCTAAACAAATATTGCAATTCATGAGACTGACCTTTTTTTTTTACAGTTTTCTGTTTGTAATTTGGTAAACTCCTAAACTTATTCTAAAAAATAAAAAATCTTTTTACTGATACCGTATACATTTTGCAATTTTTACTTTTATTTTGTATCTCTGACAGGAAATAAAAAATAAAATGAAAAAATTGAGTCCCTATATATCCCATTATTATTTTACTTTAAGTTTTACTATGTTTTGAAGTACACATGAAAGGACACACGAGATGCTAGTCTTGTTAAATGTCTCCTACCTCTGTATTGTCTCTAATCAATAGATTCTCAGGTTTCAGGTCCCTGTGGGCAATATTCAAGGTGTGACACCTTAACACTGCATTGGCAATCTGTTTGAGAGAAAAAAAATGTGTGTCAAATACAGTCTAGATTATACCATCAACTTATGAAAAAGATGTGACTTAAGGTTTCTGAACAGTAAAGGTAAATGAGTAATGAAAGTATACATCTGATAAACACATAACAGCCCCACTTTATCTATTTTTACATCTAGCAATGAAGAATAAGATTATACAATTAAACCTTTAATACTTGTCAGAGTTTTTAGCACACCCTTGAGAGTACATTTTGTTTTTTTGACTCCTAGAAATGAGCTCCAAGTTATTTAACACATTTGTTCGTCCTTCCAATTCTAGGGAAAGGCTATATTATGTCTGCTGAAATTGCTAAATGTTATGGGTCAATTGTATTAGCCCTGAAGGTCGATAAATTGTTATGTGATACACCTTTCATTGATGAAACAATTATAAAGTTGTATGTTATAATCAGAATATGATTTAGACAGCAGGCAACAATTATTTTGCACAGGACTATAAATGAGTATTGTCATCTTTAAATAAACATAGTACATCAGAGATTCATATTTTCTAATTTGATTTCCAATTTTAAAATGATTACAAAAATTACAGAAAAGTTAATGGTCCAACCTGTCTTAAGTATTTGGCAGCCTTTCTTTCTGTGAACCCACTTTCTTTACTGATTCTGTCGAAGAGTTCTCCCCCTTGCATGTACTCCAGCACCACCAGCAGTCTGGGTCTAAGGGATAACAATGAAAAAACATCATTTGAAGCATTACTTTGATTTAAGATGGAATATATACAATTACACCTACTATACAAACTAACCTAGTCACTTTCTGGCATTAACTTAAAGAAACCACATTCAAATGACATAAAACTCAGTAATATAATGGAACCCTGCAAGACAATCCTATAAATTTAGAAAAATATTTAGTGACTAAAAACAAATTTTACACTTAATTCTTTCTTTAAATATTGAACAAGTTTAAATAAACTTTAAATTTCTACTAATAACATATATACTAAAGGTGTCTGAAAAAGTTTCAGCTGATAAATAATACATCTTTCAAAGTAATAATGTGATTTTACTATAATTCATAATTATTTTCTGGAAGAGCATGCACCTTTAATTTTCACTGGCACAGTTTATGCTAAACTGTTTTTATAATATTTCAAGAATATTTTCATTGAGGATGGTGCTTTTTTACAATGAAAAAGGTACATTGTCGTAGCAGCACAACAGCTTCTTTGGTGAGTATATTCAGACTATAAATAAGTGGCAATTAGTGTACTTTCTAAGGCCTTTTTGGGATTTATTCATTGATACATACATGTTTATTTCTAACATATATTTTTTATAGGAAATGTTGTATGTGTGACGTGTTTTGAATACATGTACTTCCGTTTATATTCAATTTGTTATGAAGGAGTTTGCCACCGTGAGGGTCTGATGTTTTACCAGGTATTATCTGTGTTGACTTGCGGTTTTACCAGGTATTATCTGTGTTGACCTACGGTTTTACCAGGTATTATCTGTGTTGACCTGCGGTTTTACCAGGTATTATCTGTGTTGACCGGCGGTTTTACCAGGTATTATCTGTGTTGACCTGTGTTTACTAGTGGTCATACTGCATCATTAGGAATATTAACTGTCGTATATGTAAACTCCCTTTACATCAATCAGATCCTCCTCCTACAGTAACACCTTGTTACACATGTACTGCCACGATTTATCCAGAGAATCGCTGGTATTATAAAGAGGTTTGTCAATAAATGGAGGAAAATGTACCAAAGTCTTTTTATGAAAAACAAGGGTACTGCCGGGCGGAACAATATACGCCCGTTGAATGCCATATAGTGTTATATACTTTCTTACATTGAAACAAGATCTGCATCAATCTAAGAGTGGTTAGCTGACATGCTATAAAAAATGGAGGAGAAAATCTCTGGACAAAAAATCAAATACTGAAATAAACAAAGGGCAAGAACTTTTGCAAAAACTGTCGAATCAAAATTCTTTTATGGGAGACACAACTTCATATCATGATTATAATGTATACCAAGTTTCAAAGATGCAAAAAATAATTGAATCAAAATTCTTTTCAAGGAAACACAACAACATATCATGATTATTAAGCCTACCAAGTTTCAAAGAAATCCTTAAAAAAATGTAGGAGGAGATCTCCGGACAAAAAATCAAATACTGAAATGAACAAAGGGCAATAACTCTTGGAAAAATTGTTGAATCAAAAATCTTTTAAGGGAGACACAACTTCATATCATGATTATAATGTATACCAAGTTTCAAAGAGATCGGTGGAAAATTGTAGGAGGAGATTGCCGGACAAATTAAAGTTTACGCCGGACGGACAACCCCATACCATAATACTTCCATCAAATTTGACGGACATATTAAAAGAAAGCAGACCTTGAAATTTGTTGGAGGTTTAAATAACAATAATAAAGCCAAATAACAATATATGTATTTTTCCTGTTTCGGCTCCAAAAAAGATAGGGTAGGTATGTAGGAAAAACATTTTCTTTTTTTTTCTTTTTTTGTGCTGGTGAAGAAAATCTCCTGATTACTTTTGTGAATGTCAAAAATTATTATTGTTTTAATAAAGTATGAATGGCACCAACATTTTGTTATTCTTGTAAAATAAATCAAAAAAATCAAAAAAATCAGGGCATTTCTAGATTTTGTGTTGAGTAGGCCCAAACAACACATTGAAGTAAATTATTATTTGACCCACCTTAACATTTATGGAATAACCAACATAATTTACAGTAGTGCTACCACCAGTGTTACATTTCTAAATTATCCCTACAGCTGGACACTAGTTCTTAGTAATCCAAACTCCATTGATGGTCACCAGTGTTACATTCTCTTTAATATTACTGATGTTTTCTGTTCTCAATTTTCACTGCCACCATTTCAAATTAATTGAACAAAAAAATAAGTACATTTATATTTACACTTTACATGTATTTACAACACAAGCTTTTCAATCCATCATGAAATAAAAAAGGTCTTCACTATTGTGAACAAGGTGGCAATTGAAACGAAGAGCCTTTATAATATATAGAGGTTTTACTGTACCTGTTACATGTTTACAAAACATTCCTGGAAAACTACTGTTTTAGGTAACCCGATTCCCTTGCCTGTCTTACACGACTTAAGCAAATAACATTCCATTTCATAATGATAACCATACATAACATCTATTATTCTATTTTTACATTCATTTAAAAAAAGGTCAGTGAAAAATGTCTTAAGCTATCAAATGATTTCAAGTGTCCTATTTATCCTTGGATACTAGACTTAATTTCAATAAATAAGTAAGGTACATATAGATAACACTTAGTAAATTAACCCTCCCAGTTGTAATTGTCCTATTTGATTTGACATTTCATGCAAACTCACCTTGCATGTGGTTCCCCTGGAAACTGTATATCATTTGCATATACATCGAACACAGACACAATGTTGTCATGGCCACTACACATTGTATGCAGGTTAACCTCTGTCCGAGCTTTGGGGGAATCCAGCAGACATTTCAGGGCAAATTTTTTGGAATTGTTCCTTTTTGTACATGGCCTGGAAAAAAAATCCTCATCATATATACTGCTAAGCTTGTTAATTTATTAGTTCAGTTGTGCTTAACTGAAATAAGTGTTGAAATGTTTTTTTTTTGTTTTTATTGTAAAACTTTCCACACAAAATTGCAATCTAGTGATAGTCAACAGTCTAATTTTGGTAAGGCACGTCTCCCCCCACCCCCCAAATATGCACGTGTCAAATTTTCCAGAGGTCAGACTCAGTTCAGATCTGAGTCTGCCAATTTCTTTTCAGGTTCATGTACTTATCAGCTGGTTGAACCAGATACGCAAAAGGAGTGTGTCTGATTGTCTGTATGAATTTTCAGTTTTAATTGTAAAACCTTCCACAAAAAATATCATTACCTTACTGGGCCACTGATGCCTGTGCCAAGCTTCTGGTTCCATTGTACAACATAGTCATCAACAATGGAACTTGTCTGAAACATCAAGAATAAGCTGGTAAATAAATACAATATTAATGATTTTTAGCATTTTAAATAGTGCCCTATCTAGCTAACATTTAAGCTACTCTAAAGCGCTACATAGATATAAAATTAATACAATTAGCATTCACAGCAATCAATACAATTTTGAGGAATTTGCAGGAGCTGCCTTATCAGGCACTTACTACTAGTCCTATGCCACCTGGCTAATATCTCCCTATGTGTGTATGCCTGCGTGTGTGCTGGAGATGTAAAGTGTTGTCTTTGTAGTGGGACCGTGCTTCCAACGGCATAATTTATAGTGCTACCTCACTTGAATGCTACAGCACAGATACCGCAACATCCACCCCAGACCAACTTATACTCCATCTGGGTTGTTGGTTGTGTAGGCAGGAGAAAAACCCTTTCTCTGAATATCCATGCACATGACGACTTTGGGGATCGAATCCCGGCCGCCTGCCCTTCCATTGATAGAACTTTATGAGACTCACTAAAAGGTTTTTGTTCTGATAATTAAAAAATATAGGCATTTTAACAATTTATGATGATCTTTGGAATTTGTATGAAAAGTATTCTATAGACTGAATTTATTCCTGCAGTCCAAAACAAAATATGATGTTCTCGCACATGTATGCCATTTTTTAACAATGTAAGCAAAAAAAAATAGATTTTAAGTTAGAATTCATCTTCTAATGATATCTGAACTTAAACAAGAGGCCCAATGGGCCTGCATCGCTCACCTTCGGGCCAGGTGAGCTACAAATAATCATCTGTAGACTTTTAATGACGCATAACTATGTATTATAAGGATACATTATTGTAATAACTGTTAAAACACTAATTGATATAAAGGTATTTTTGCAAAGACTGATCTGATTTACTGATCTGATTTGGGTCCTGCCTCCTATTCATTTATTACATGGTTGGTAACTCTCTTAACTTTTTGAGACTGTCTATTTTACTGAAGCGGAACAGGACTGGGTCGATCTTTGGAGACCAGATAGCTCAATTGGTAGAGTCTGTCTGTCTCGAGTTCGGGAGGTCCCGGGTTCGAACCCTGGTCTAGCCGAGCATTTTTCCTCTCGTGTTACATTACATCTTTTATTTTTATGAAAAGCAACACATTTTTGTGTTCTAAGATTTAAGATAAATTTAGAAGCTTTTGAAAAACTTCAAAACTGAACACTGTTCAATCAAAAGCTGTTGATATTTCTATCTTACAGGTGAAATCTAAAATTTGGATTTAAGTTTTTTTTTTTTTTACATAAGGCAACAAGAGTTTCATTCAAGCGTAACATACTGTACAAAGAAATCTCACAAATGCAAGACAATCTCAGAAAGTCTATGAGTTTCTAGCTTGTTTAAAGTGATAGGCTAATTAAGAGAATGTGGTGTCTGTTAATCAGTGTCCGTCTACTCATATGGATCAGAGGGTAGTCACTGATCTAAGTCCCTCATTGAAACAACTGAGATCTTTATCTTTTCTGCACTGTTTACAATGTAGTTTCCCTCAAGGCAACTTGAAATAGATTGGCCTCTTTACAGATTCAATGGACACTACGTCTTAACAACTTTATCTGTTTTGCTAATGAAGGTATGTCACCACTTAAACATAATCCCTAAACTCATGGTTCATCCACAGGGGCAGGTTATTATGTAATACAGCTGGCTTCCCATTTCATATATATTATTCTTATTGTTTGTAACCTGCCCCTGTGGTTCATCTCGGATATTTGTTTGTTGTCACTGTCAAATCGGTACACTAGAATCGCCTGACCATGATAAATGTTAACATGTAGGTATATCACAGATCTGTTGGAACCTAACAACCGCTGTGTTTGTGCCTTGCCTTGATTCTAGGTCCCTCGTTATTAGGCCGGTTCAGCTGGTTCTTGTCTTCTGACATTTTTTATGATCTGCAAATGAACGGATGAACCGGATGTAACGCTAAATCATTCGGAAAAGAAAGTGATTCGAAAACCCCCACTGCTTCCCGAATGTACCGGAAATGATAACGACGAAATTATTTTTTACAAAGGGGTCAAACCCCCCTGTACTAAAACTATTTATATTTCTGTATGTACGTTAATTCACTAAAATATACGCATTGTACGTAAGCAGAGATTTTTTATGAGCATAGTTTTAACATTTCACTTTAAAAGAATTTATATAAAAAAAATGAAAAACTAAAATACGACGTATCCAACCTTCCATAATAGAATCGACCATGTCAGCAGACACTATGGACGACGTATAATGCGCTTAATGTTTTGCTGAGAAAACCCGATAAAATGATATCAAAACAATTTGCATGGATTGGAGGCCTGGCGACAGTTGTTGCTACAGGTCTTTATGTATTCTTTGGTCCTTCCGAAAAGAAGAAGCCTAAGAAGAAAGGTAACGTTTGCGAAAGTTAATCAAGGTGGTGTCTTTTACCATATGCAGATCTGATGAAAACAGAAAATTATGACATGCACAGGGTTATGCACCGCAATATTACTGCGTACTTTTCCATTTTGTCAGATTGAAAATATATTTACTATTCATTCTGTTAACCTTATACTATACTGATATTTAACAAACTATAGCAATTTCTCCTTAAAAATTACCAGATACATAAATGTAAGCTTCATGTTAAATTTCATCATGTTTCGATACGGCGAGAATAAGTTGATCTTCAGTAAGTATTCGTTCTTGGATGTGAAACAACACTGGTAAACCTGATTATGTTCATTTCACATGGCGATGCTTACCAATGTATGGAAAAGCAATACTAAGGCCTTTATACTGACTCTATTCTCCATTAATTGACATTAAGAGACGAATGAGTTAACATTGATTCTAACAATGTTTTCAGCTATATTGAAAGTAAAAACGTGAAACACATAGCATATGTTTAAGAAATGCATGAGAATCAATTAATCAAATCCAGCAGAGACGTAGATACTGGCTTTATCCTATTATATGTCTCTGAATCCAGCAATATATTTTGAATTGTGTATTTTTATGCCCCCGCCATAAAATGGAGGGGTATATAGTGTTGCCCATGTTCGTTCCGTCGCGTCCCGATTCAATGTAAACACTAATCAAATTCATTCTTTGACAGATTTTCGTCAAACTTTATACAAAGGTACAATTCACAACCCTCCATAAAATGGGGGAGCATATATATATAGTGTTGCCCATGTCAGTCCTGTCCCATCCCAATTCAATGTAAACACTTAGCAACTTCATTCTTTGACAGATATTGGTCAAACTTTATACAAAGGTCAAGTATGAGGTATACTTTAGACATCGTTGTGTTTCAGGGATCCAAGGTCAAGGTCACACCTGCTATATATAGAAAATCATCAACTGATTCAATTTAAACACTTAGCAACTTCATTCTTTCATGGAATTTTGGTTAAACTTTATGCAAAGGTCAATTATGAGTAAACTTTGGACATTGTTGTGTTTCACAGTTCCAAGGTCAAGGCCAAGGTCACTTGCTATATATAGAAAATCATCAACTGATTAAATTTAAACACTTATAGCAACTTCATTCTTTCACGGATTTTGATCAAACTTTATACAAAGGTCAAATATTGGTATACCTCTGACATCCTTGTGTTTCAGGGTTCCAAGGTCAAGGCCAAGGTCACTGTTGCTATATATAGAAAATCATCAATTGATACATTTTAAACACTTAGTAACTTCATTCTTTCAGGGATTTTGGTCAAACTTTATATAAAGGTCAAGTATGGGTATACCTCTGACATCCTTGTTTTTCAGGATGGTAATATCAATATTCATACAAAAAAAACATATGAATACTAAAATCAACTTATCAACTTTAAGTGTATAGTACCTTGTGTACAGTATGTGCATGTTTCAGGGTATCAAGATCAAAGTGGTTGTAACTTGTAACTAATTACACATGGCAGTGGGGGCATTTATGTCTTCCAGACATTTTCTAGTTATTCATGTTTTATTAAAATCATGTAATGGTAAATGTATGAAGGGAGAAGGCTATGATAAGTTATCTACAGAAGAAAAAATAAATAAAAATCCTGAAGCGACTTTTGACATGTCCCAAAACGACTTTTGTTTTGTTACCCAAACGACCTGACACCTTTATAAATACTGTCTCGAGGAAAGTATTAATTATAAGCATTACCTGGGTAATGCTGCCCACCCATTAACACATACTGAGGTTTAACTTTTGATTTGTTTTCATGTATAGTCTAGTCCTATATCTATAAATGTTAAACCCCATGTCATGTTTCATTTCCCTGAACAGTATGTGTTCTCATGATCACTTAACAAATTTTGAAAAGGTGGTTGACTTGAACAAATTAATGCACAGTTGCCAGTTGCTATATTGCTGACCTATATATTCTGGGGAAAAAACAGCCAATTCCAAGTCGATTCGCAGGCTACTTTTGATTTTAAAGAGAACACTGCTGAATGGACATGAACAAAACCCAGCTGGTAACCTAGGTACGTAGCTGGTAACCTAGGTACGTAGCTGGTAACCTATGTAGGTAGCTGGTAACCTATGTAGGTAGCTGGTAACCTAGGTAGGTAGCTGGTAACCTAGGTACGTAGCTGGTAACCTAGGTACGTAGCTGGTAACCTAGGTAGGTAGCTGGTAACCTAGGTAGGTACATGCACCTAAATCAACGGCTGATCATTATAATGGTGCACGAGAAAGATAAATACATGCATGTACACTAAAACAAAGGTTGGTCTTGGGTACCAAATGTAACAGGAAAGGTCAAATGTAACAGCCAGAGTGGGATTTGAACCTTTCACTTCTTAATGGATGCTGTAACCCATTGAGCTACTTTGTTGCTGGTGTTCAACTTTGTCCAGTTCAGCTTCATTCATCCCTCTTCGATGATGACTTTGACCCTGAAGAGGCACAAGACCCTATACTATGTATACCTTGGCTTGAGCTTCTGTTGGTACATATAGTAGGGAAACATGAAATGTAAAAGGAAAGGAAAATACAATAGTGGGACAAGGAATCAAACCTGGGACCACCAAACTTTTGACAGACAGAACCAACTTCTAGGCCTGATCGTTTTATTTTTTATTTAAAATATATGGTGTTGTGCATTTGGGAAGCACATTTATATACATGTATAGATATGCAATTGATGCTAAAAATATTTTAGCTTGGTGTAAAAGCTGCATATTTCACTATCAATGTTTATTTCATGATCATAATTGATTCAAAGATTTGTGTAGATATACCGGTACATTATATTTTTAATATTCATTTGTTTACAGATCTGTGTCCTGGCCTGGATAACCTTGGCAACACCTGTTTCCTGAATGCTATATTGCAAGCCTTTGCATCCTGCCCAACTGTCGGCAAATGGCTGAAAGATTTCTTTTTGAAAGTCCCAGATGCCAGCAACAAATATCTAGCTTCAACAATATCTAACACAATCAGTGGTGAGTGACTGGCGACACCATTGGTTTTACTGAAAATACCAAATTATTGAATTAAATGTTCTAAATCATTCATGTAACATATCTATCGTGTTTTGCATGTTAGGCACCATGGGTTAATTAATAATAACTAATTAATTTGTGCAGAGCTGTTGGATTTTTCAGTCAAGTCTTGAACATCATTTGTTGATGAGTTCATTACAAAGATACATATATACCGGTAGTGGGTTCTCAAAACGTTGGTGAGTCACACAGGAAAAGCATGGACTCGGATATATATATATATGCGTCCCAAAGATCTTGCAAAGTACATTTACAGTGATCAAATTAAAGCATTATAGATTATTTTGTGCATAGATTCGTGAACAGATTATTTTATAAAGAACCTTAGCTTAAAACATTTCTGTAAATGTGTATTTCATGATTTATTATTTCAGTACTAAACTATGATACTGAAGTGGATGAAGATTATCACTGCCCAGCTGATGTGATCAATGCACTCCGGGGTAGAGGGTGGATTATCTCCCCCCACGAACAGGTTTGTGTACAAATATATGTACTTTTAACTTACCTTAACAATAGTACTATTAAATTGTTCTGTTTATATACAAGCCTTAAAAGTCCTTGTGATAGTTAAATATAAAAGAAATGACACAAAGAGTTTCTGATTAATTCACTAGTACATTCACCTCTTTAGAGTTTCATCAGGTGATATGTTTGTTCATGTTGTTTATATGTGTATATCTATTTTCACTATCAAAAAGTTATTCAGTCCATATACTAATAATCTAAGGTATATATATATATATGGGGCAAAGAAGTAATTCTAACAGTGTGGACAAGTTTAGGTTGTCAAATTTTCGGAGCGATCCGCTCCTTTTTCAAGACACAAAATTTGACACCCTAAACTTGTCCACACTGTTGGAATTACTTCTTTGCCCCATATAATATTTTAAGTAATTCGTATCCTACGGACATACCTCCATTAGGATCCAGTGTTATATGGGATTTTATCGTCTATATTACTTCTTTGACCCATATATATATATATATAGTCATCAGTATTGTTTGTTAAAATATTTTCTAGTTATTGGTGTGTTTTGTTTATTAATTTTCAATGTAATGATGTTGATGCAACAGCATTCTGACAGTCTTGGTAACCTGAGAAATAGATTCAGAGACATTTACAGTATTTGAATTGGACTGCCAAGTGTCACTTTGACAGATACAAAAAGCTGATGTAAGGAGGCCATGTAATTGAAAATTATCTGCCTCCCATAGCACTACAATCTATCAATTGTACTTTGTTTTGAAATTTCCAGGATGCACATGAACTTTTCCATGTACTGACACAGTCACTAGATGAGGAAACTGCAAAGTTCCCCAGAATTGTCTCCCTTTTTGATGTGGGATTACTGGAGGTAAGTTCTTAGTAATATTATTATCTAGATCTATACTCTTTTTATCGCAAGGCATTATTTAATTATTTCAGATTTTGGGGAAGAACAGAGATTTTTTTCTGACAATAAAGGTATTCTATATTCTGATACAGTCGAACCTCGTTATCTCAAACTCTTATAACTCGAAGACCCCGTTTATCTCGAAGTATCTCTCCGGTCCCGACCAAATCTCTTCTTTATCTTAGTAAATAAAACTCTGATAATTCGAACCCTGAAAACTCGAAAAACTTGGATACCTCGAAGTAAGATATTGGTTTCAATAGCGTAAATCCAACATCAAAACATTGTCTACTAAAATTTGTTCGAATTTCATTTCGTCAATTATTTATTAAATAATACAAAAAAAATGCAAAGCTACGGCATTTCGCCATTCCGTGTTTATGAACATCTTTAGTGAGTAGACTAGCATGAAATCGGTAAAAATAATTTACGATAAAGCTTAAGACTGTAAAGTGTATGGACTGTCAAAACCACGTTGTTCATAAGAAAAAACAAACTTCATCAATGTTGATCAACGGTATTCTGTACTTACTGCGATTTCGTTTAATGATATGTACACCCAAACTGACAACAGTCCAAACCGGAAAATTGGTCATAAAGCGTGGTCATGGATAAAAGAGTTCCACAGTTAAAATCACAACATAGGACAGCTTCACAGGTTCGTGTTTTTACAGGAGCCAGTTTGGCTTTGAAAGTCAACCGAGATATTTTAAGAACAATACGATAATTGCTGTTGATTACATCAAGTTGAGGAGGTGTCAGGTGTCACATTTGGCTTTTATGAATCAATGTGTTACATGTACGATAGAATCTGTTTGTGTGTGTTTTCATTTAAAGAGTCAACTATGCGTACGCTCCATTACAGTGATTTGTTTTAATCTTGCGCACTTTCATTTCCCATCGTAAAGTATGAGGTCGGAGACAGTGGGATAGTTCTATTTTAAATGTAACACGTCTAGAGGTAAAACTTGACTGACTTGCAAATATAAAGGAAAACCTAGAAAGACTTTGCCAAGACTAGCCAAATCCAAATTTAATCACTAGGCCCATCCATATTTCATAACGAATTCGCAATATGGTCCAACCGTTTTCATCGCGTTAAACGAAAGTACGTTTTTCGAAAAAGAAAAAAATGCTATATTTTTGTATGCATGTTTATTATAAAATAACAAACATGTATGTGTCCTATTGATTACGTATATCATCCATCAATTGATTATAAGCATTCGCTATTAGTACAAATCAACGGCTGCTAGTACTATGTCCAAACAGTACATTTCATACCAAATATATGAACCCGCTTAACTCGAACACTCGTATAACTCGAAGTTTTTCTATACCCCGTCTACTTCGAGATAACGAGGTTCGACTGTAGTTATTTCCTGTCATATCAAACAATTAAGATATTTTTCATTTCATTGTAGAAAAGAAACAGTCAGTTAATTTTATTATGTATCTTTTTCGTCTTGAAGAATAAGTCCCTGAGGTACCAATCTGAGGAGAAAGCCATCACTCGCAGTAAGAGTTTGCTACCAGTGTTACCTAACAGAGAGAACGATCACCCCTTCAGGGGCCTCCTGGCCAGCCAGCTCCACTGTAATGAGTGTGGCTACAGAAATCCAGTCCGCTACGACCTGTTTGACAGTCTGTCACTCAGCATACCAGCTAGTGTTTGGGTGAGTAACTGTTATATTTGATATTATACTGATTAATCAACCGCTTTGAGACGACCTACGAATTAGGTTGTGATAAAGCAGTATATAAGAACCTTGTATTATAATTATTATATTCTTGTATATATATACTTGTTGGGATAGACGTTTTGAAAAACTGAGACAGCTACTCTAACAGTTTATACATTGTATTTATGTAATATATGTTTATGATCATACAAAATCAAACAATGGTTTACCAAATTTGACCAAATTCCAAATAAAAAATAACTGCTATTTATTCTTCAAATTTTTGAATTTTAACAACATTTTTCTTAAATTTTCGTCTTGTATTCAGATGAGAATGCAACAACTGTAATACAATGCTCTTAGATAAGTAATAATGTTAATTAAGACTTTAGGATAATATTCTGTAAAGAAATGACTTAAAAAAACAAAATAAACAAAAACAGAAAATAGGTACTTTGGATAAAGATTAACCAAGTGGTAAACCAGTGTTGCTTGTTGGATTTGACTGACACACACAGAGCTGAATTGTCAATGATTTTTCCAGATTGACAAGGATACTAACTGACTTTTGGAGCCTGTTTCCTAGTCACCCAGATAAAGCCCTGTCAATAGTAATAGATATTTTCTTTCCTAATAAGTATTTACTTAATTAGGTCTGTGGATGCTTTAACACTATTTATGTATTGAGGTCTATTGTATTTATAGAATGAAGTCAATAGATTTGACTGGCCTTGTGTATTTATAGAATGAAGTCAATAGATTTGACTGGCTCTGTGTATTTATAGAATGAAGTCAATAGATTTGACTTGCCCTGTGTATTTATAGAATGAAGTCAATACATTTGACTGGCCCTGTGTATTTATAGAATGAATTCAATAGATTTGACTGGCCCTGTGTATTTACAGAATCAAGTCAATAGATTTGACTGGCCCTGTGTATGTAGAGAATGAAGTCAATAGATTTGACTGGCCCTGCGTATTTATAGAATGAAGTCAATAGATTTGACTTGCCCTGTGTATTTATGGAATGAAGTCAATAGATTTGACTGGCTCTGTGTATTTATTGAATGAAGTCAATAGATTTGACTGGCCCTCTGTATTTATAGAATGAAGTCAATAGATTTGACGTGCCCTGGGTATTTTTTGAATGAAGTCAATAGATTTGACTGGCCCTGCGTATTTATAGAATGAAGTCAATAGATTTGACTTGCCCTGTGTATTTATAGAATGAAGTCAATACATTTGACTGGCCCTGTGTATTTATAGAATCAAGTCAATAGATTTGACTGGCCCTGTGTATTTCTAGAATGAAGTCAATAGATTTGACTGGCCTTGTGTATTTATAGAATGAAGTAAATAGATTTGACTGGCTCTGTGTATTTATTGAATGAAGTCAATAGATTTGACTGGCCCTGCGTATTTATAGAATGAAGTCAATAGATTTGACTTGCCCTGTGTATTTATAGAATGAAGCCAATAGATTTGACGGGCCCTGTGTATTTCTAGAATGAAGTCAATAGATTTGACTGGCCCTGCGTATTTATAGAATGAAGTCAATAGATTTGACTTGCCCTGTGTATTTATGGAATGAAGTCAATAGATTTGACTGGCTCTGTGTATTTCTAGAATGAAGTCAATAGATTTGACTGGCCCTGCGTATTTATAGAATGAAGTCAATAGATTTGACTTGCCCTGTGTATTTATAGAATGAAGTCAATGGATTTGACTGGCCCTGTGTATTTATAGAATCAAGTCAATAGATTTGACTGGCCCTGTGTATGTAGAGAATGAAGTCAATAGATTTGACTGGCCCTGCGTATTTATAGAATGAAGTCAATAGATTTGACTTGCCCTGTGTATTTATAGAATGAAGTCAATAGATTTGACTGGCCCTGTGTATTTTGTAGGATACAGTGTATTTACAGTATGAAAGTTGCTGTAGATTTGACTATTACACTGTGATTATGACAGTGTATGCTACAAGTGTATTGATGTCATGAGGTCGAATGTAGATTTTACTAACTGTGTGTATGTTCTTAATACTGTGTTGATGTAACTTAGTCTGTTGTAGACTTCACTAATTTGGTTTCAATATGTTATAAAAGTGTTTCTATCGTCATGAGCAGGAATCCAAGAGTCTTGAGGCCCTCCTGCAGCACTACATCAGTGCTGAGACTGTAGAGAATGTGGAGTGCCCTGGCTGTGCAAAGATAAAGAATGCTGCCGCGCATAGCAATATACCACCACCCCGGTCAACCTTCTGTAAGAAACTCACTATTGGAAAGGTAAGTGCAATGCTTCTTTTGATTTTAGTACTTGAAATCTGAGGACACATGTTTGTGATTTCTCACTGTCATCATTAATTGAGAAATGTGTTGCACTTTCAGTTTATGAACAATAACAACATTGTTTAACCTTGAAAGTTTTTGGACTTGCATTGCTCAACCTTAACACAAAATTTAAGGATGCATGGGCATTTATTTCGCTTTTGAATTGTCTAGCTGAAAATCGGTCAGTTGCTATAAATATTTTCACTTTCTGCGCAATACAAAGAGTATGTTCAATTCCCAACATTGGACCCACAACAGAACCTAATAGAATAAACCTATTCTGTTTTCTTATCAATCAGGAATAACTTTTATTATTATACCTTCTGTTAAAATCTCGTAATCTGATTCGTTGAGAAAGATGTGAACATTTTCAATGTTACTTGCTCGTTTTACAAAGATAAAAAAGACAGGGTGTTATTCCAAAAAATATCACATGCGCCAAACGTATGCGTGCACGGTTCGTCCCAGTGCCAGGGTGTTATTCCAAAAATTGTTACATGGGCCGAATGTATGCGCCCCTGGTTCATCCCAGTGAAAACTTTTCTGAAACGTTTGTCAACCTTTAAAAATGGTGAAGTGGTGAAACCCCTAAACATGACACTCTGTATAATAAAATAAATATCACATTCATGAGAGGGCGATATTGCATATTTTCACCCCTCTGAAAAGCATTGTTGACCTCGGCTTTGCCTCGGTCAACAATGCTTCCTTGGGGTGAAAATATGCAATATCGCCCTCTCATGAATGTGATATTTATATAATATCACATTTAAGGTCAACTAAGAAAGTCGGTAATACTTTATATAGTTTTTCAGTTCTGCACCAATACTGTCTTAGGTCAAATCTCCCGTTTATAGTGACCACCACTAGAATTAGCTTTAGGCAACTATTTATAGATTGAGGTTTAGTATTTATTGATTCCCGTTTATAGAGCCCACCAATAGAATAAGCTTTAGGCACATATTTATAGATTGAGGTTTAGTATTTATTGATTCCCGTTTATAGTGACCACCAGTAGAATTAGCTTTAGACACATATTTATAGATTGAGGATTAGTGTTTATTGATTCCCGTTTATAGTGACCACCAGTAGAATCAGCTTTAGACACATATTTATAGATTAAGGTTTAGTGTTTATTGATTCCCGTTTATTGTGACCACCAGCAGAATCAGCTTTAGCACATATTTATAGATTGAGGTTTAGTATTTATTGATTCCCGTTTATAGTGACCACCAGTAGAATCAGCTTTAGACACATATTTATAGATTAAGGTTTAGTGTTTATTGATTCCCGTTTATTGTGACCAACAGAAGAATTAGCTTTAGACACATATTTATAGATTGAGATTTAGGATTTATTGATTCCCGTTTATAGTGACCACCAGTGGAATTAGCTTTAGACACATATTTATAGATTGAGGATTAGTGTTTATTGATTCCCGTTTATAGTGACCACCAGTAGAATCAGTTTTAGACACATATTTATAGATTGAGGTTTAGAATTTATTGATTCCTGTTTATAGTGACCACCAGCAGAATCAGCTTTAGACACATATTTATAGATTAAGGTTTAGTGTTTATTGATTCCCGTTTATTGTGCCCACCAGAAGAATTAGCTTTAGACACATATTTATAGATTGAGGATTAGTGTTTATTGATTCCCGTTTACAGTGACCACCAGTAGAATCAGCTTTAGACACATATTTATAGATTAAGGTTTAGTGTTTATTGATTCCCGTTTATTGTGACCACCAGCAGAATCAGCTTTAGCACATATTTATAGATTGAGGGTTAGTATTTATTGATTCCCGTTTATAGTGACCACCAGTGGAATTAGCTTTAGACACATATTTATAGATTGAGATTTAGGATTTATTGATTCCCGTTTATAGTGACCACCAGTGGAATTAGCTTTAGACACATATTTATAGATTGAGATTTAGTATTTATTGATTCCCGTTTATTTTATTGTGACCACCAGCAGAATCAGCTTTAGACACATATTTATAGATTAAGGTTTAGTGTTTATTGATTCCCGTTTATTGTGACCACCAGCAGAATCAGCTTTAGACACATATTTATAGATTAAGGTTTAGTGTTTATTGATTCCCGTTTATTGTGACCAACAGAAGAATTAGCTTTAGACACATATTTATAGATTGAGGATTAGTGTTTATTGATTCCCGTTTATAGTGACCACCAGTAGAATCAGTTTTAGACACATATTTATAGATTGAGGTTTAGTGTTTATTGATTCCCGTTTATTGTGCCCACCAGAAGAATTAGCTTTAGACACATATTTATAGATTGAGATTTAGGATTTATTGATTCCCGTTTATAGTGACCACCAGTGGAATTAGCTTTAGACACATATTTATAGATTGAGATTTAGGATTTATTGATTCCCGTTTATAGTGACCACCAGTGGAATTAGCTTTAGACACATATTTATAGATTGAGGATTAGTGTTTATTGATTCCCGTTTATAGTGACCACCAGTGGAATTAGCTTTAGACACATATTTATAGATTGAGGTTTAGAATTTATTGATTCCTGTTTATAGTGACCACCCGTAGAATTAGCTTTAGACACATATTTATAGATTGAGATTTAGTATTTATTGATTCCCGTTTATAGTGACCACCAGTAGAATTAGTTTTAGACACATATATATAGATTGAGGTTTAGTATTTATTGATTCCCGTTTATAGTGACCACCAGTAGAATCAGCTTTAGACACATATTTATAGATTGAGGTTTAGTATTTATTGATTCCTGTTTATAGTGTCCAACAGTAGAATTAGCTTTAGACACATATTTTTAGATTGAGGTTTAGTATTTATTGATTCCTGTTCATAGTGACCACCAGTAGAATTAGCTTTAGGCACATATTTATAGATTGAGGTTTAGTATTTCTTGATTCCCGTTTATAGTGACCACCAGTAGAATTAGCTTCAGACACATATTTATAGATTGAAGTTTAGTGTTTATTGATTGCCGTTTATAGTGACCACCAGTAGAATTAGCTTTAGACCCATATTTATAGATTGAGGTTTAGTATTTATTGATTCTTGTTTATAGTGACCACCAGTAGAATTAGCTTTAGACCCATATTTATAGATTGAGGTTTAGTATTTATTGATTCTTGTTTATAGTGACCACCAGCAGGATCAGCTTTAGACACATATTTATAGATTGAGGTTAAGTATTTATTGATTCCTGTTTATAGTGACCACCAGTAGAATTAGCTTTAGACCCATATTTATAGATTGAGGTTTAGTATTTATTGATTCCTGTTTATAGTGTCCAACAGTAGAATTAGCTTTAGACACATATTTTTAGATTGAGGTTTAGTATTTATTGATTCCTGTTTATAGTGACCACTCGTAGAATTAGCTTTAGACACATATTTATAGATTGAGGTTAAGTATTTATTGATTCTTGTTTATAGTGACCACCAGCAGGATCAGCTTTAGACACATATTTATAGATTGAGGTTTAGTATTTATTGATTCCTGTTGATAGTGACCACCAGCAGGATCAGCTTTAGACACATATTTATAGATTGAGGTTAAGTATTTATTGATTCTTGTTTATAGTGACCACCAGTAGAATTAGCTTTAGACACATATTTATAGATTGAGGTTTAGTATTTATTGATTCTTGTTTATAGTGACCAGCAGCAGAATGAGCTTTAGACACATATTTATAGATTGAGGTTTAGTATTTATTGATTCCCGTTTATAGTGACCACCAGTAGAATTAGCTTCAGACACATATTTATAGATTGAAGTTTAGTGTTTATTGATTGCCGTTTATAGTGACCACCAGTAGAATTAGCTTTAGACACATATTTATAGATTGAGGTTTAGTGTTTATTGATTCCCTTTTATAGTGACCACCAGTAGAATTAGCTTTAGACACATATTTATTGATTGAGGTTTAGTGTTTATTGATTCCTGTTTATAGTGACCACCAGTAGAATTAGCCTTAGACACATATTTATAGATTGAGATTTAGTATTTATTGATTCCCGTTTGGTTAATGTTGTATGGAAGTGTCGATATGGGGGTGAATATTTTACCCACTACATTTGGATCAGTGAGGCAATAACAATTTAAGTAAATTACATGTACAATGTACTAGATAATCTGCCAAAGATAATGCATATCTTATCTGATATTTATTGTTAGGTTTGATCAAGTAAATGCAAAATTGTCTTCACAGCTTTTACATCTTCAAGTGATTGAGATTCACCCAATTACTGAATACAGGTTTTTGTTGTTGACACAGAACCAGGACTTTCAAAATGACAAAAGTATAACCTTGGTTCAATCAGACACAGGATATGCAGGAAGCAAAAATGAAAAGTTAATTTTTCTGCAACCTTTTTTCCAGCTGCCGCAGAGCATGTGTATCCACATTCAGAGGACCCAGTGGCTTGACAATGGGATGCCCATCAAGAGGTATGAACACATATCTTTCCCTGAGATCCTACAGATGGACAACTATGTCTATAGCAAAGTCGGACAGCAGCACGATCTCAAAACAAGGAATGGACTTCTAGGAGGCAACAACCAACCACTCTTCAGGTAAGACATTGATTTACATTTGTTATCAGTTAGAGAAATAAGAACATTATTTTATAATAACCCAATTCTCCAAATTCCATGTTTTACTGTCAAAAAAAAAGAGTAATATGCCCATTATTAGCCCAACAGCACTTATCATAGACTCTTTTGACAAGATGGAGTTAATTGTCGGTGTAGATTTCTCGGTGTAGATTTCTTTGTATGCAAAGTCTTCTGCATCGAGTGATGATTATTTCAGAATCAAAACTGTTGTGTGACAGGTGTCAACATATTTTATTTTCAAATAAACAGGGTTTTTACAGACCTGCTTTAAAAGTGTTTTAACTTGTATCTTTTATCTTTATAGTCCTGAAAGGTGCTTGAAGTTATTCTAGAGCCTTCAAATATTTGTAAAGTAGTTGATCAGCTTGTTTTCCTTGGGAAATGCATGCATTCTTAATAGAAACTTGGGGGAAATGCTTAAACAGCTAAATTTGTTTATAGGGTATGCCAGCAATATCCAATGTAAAAAGGCAGGTAACTTGCTAGATTGGAAGATTTTACTAAAAAGTCAAACTTTTCTTCAGTATCTTGTCATTACAAGATGAACATTTTGGATAGTCTGTTCTTGAGAGAGCATACTGTAATTTGTCTGGAGCAAAATAAGTACCTTTGTCAATTATTTCTCTTTCTAGGAATGTAAACAATACAACAGATAATGGATCATCTGGTCCAGTGAACCTTCTCCGAGCTTTAAACTACGATTCTAACATCACCAGGAACGGAATATTTCTACAGCCACCTGTCAACTGCCAGGTGCCGAATATCCATTCAGATCTCAATCACAATGGACCCAACATGTCCAAATATGCTGCCTCTGAATTTACATACAAACTTTCTGCAGTGGTTGTTCATCTTGGGGACATCATGTCTGGACATTTTGTGACGTATAGACGGAGTCCGATGACAGTGAAGGGCGATAGAAAGATTGATCGCTGGATCTGCTGCTCCGACACAGCAGTGTCGCGTGCCGAGCTAGATGATGTGCTTTCTGCAGAGGCTTACATGTTGTTCTATGAAAGAATGTGAATGTTTATGTTATCAAGGTCAGTACGACCTGCTTCAAGGTAATAGCCTTGGCTCTGAAAGCCAAGTGTTACTATGGTAACTGTGTTACTCAGGTGTTGTGTGAAAGCTAGTCAATCAATAATATGACAAACATCCATGTATAGAAACACAGTGTATTTACCAACGAACAGTGTATTTACCAGTGAACAGTGTATTTACCAGTGAACAGTGTATTTACCAGTGAACAGTGTATTTACCAATGAACAGTGTATTTACCAGTGAACAGTGTTTTTACCAATGAACAGACACACTAATTCTAAACAGCATTAAATACTAATACTGGTATGTTATCCTACTCCATCTCATACTCCTCCTTATTAACCCTTTCACCCCTATGTAACTTGAGTGAACTCTAACATGTATTAATTTGGAAGAGTTCATTATGGTCTACAGTGGTGAGAGGGTTAATTATCGATACTATCATAAATAATTCCACTCCTCTAATCTTCTCTGACATGTACTCTACTAACATGACTGATCCAGCCCCCACCCATTCCTCCTCGTCGATACTACTAACATAACTAATCCTGGGCCTCCTCATACCCCTTCATTAATATATCCTAGCCCTGATTTCTTCATCTTTATAAATAATATTATCTATTTTACTAACATAAATAAATCATGCCCCCTTTTTTTTCTTCTTTTCTACTAACATGAACAATCATGGTTCACATTCTTCCTTTTTATCTATTCTGCTTACATAAATAATCCTGGCTCACATTCTGCCTTTTCATCTATTGCCCTGCAGCCTACCCTTGTCAATTAATTAGCCCTCTGTATCTTCCCATTTACTTCATTAACACAAACAGTAACATAAGTATCTCTTAATATTAACACACTAACCTTCCTCCTCAATGTATTGTTTAGGTGTCTTGTTAAGTAACACTCAAACTCATGCTTTCCTATTGTAGTGGGACAGGGCATTACGTGTTTGCCTTTTCCATCAGTGCTTCTGTACATCAGTCTGTACTTCGTCTCTGTTAGACTTTACATTAGCTTCATAGCTCTAAAGCAAGAAGTTCAACTGTCATCAAACTTCATGATGTTATGTGGATACTTCTAGAGGAGTACTACACCATTTTATCAAATGTCGGTCACAATATTTTGTATTTCACTGACTTTGGTCAAACGTTTGGTTCAATGTCACTTCTATGGCTAGACGTTCGACATTAATCTCCATATCCATACAACAAAAGTTATAAACGTTCCTTCATTAGACTTCATCATGTGCATGTTCACTTTCAAATGCCACTTAAATCAAATGTAATTGTCTTTTTCGTTTTGGAACTTTACTAAAACCATTATCTTTTATGTGAGTATGACTTTTGCACTATGGCCAGATTTTACAAACTTATATTTTTCTCTTCATTGATCCTTTCTTAAAGTCTTGTCTCACACAAAGTTCTCAAGTATACATGTATGTAGCTATGATAGTCATTGAGGGACAATGTGTTTGACTTAAAAATCAAGTTGCATTTTAGTTGCTTTGGAATCCAAAGTGAAGAATCTCCATGCTTTTTTAAACAATTTAATTTTAATTGTCTTTCTCCGTTTGCCCATCCTACGTGGCTGGCAGCCTCTGTCCAGGCACCCCTTTAAGCTTGAATCTGTCTGGATCTGGTCAACGGTTTGGACTAGCTGGCGACCCTATTTGACTCTCTATAGCTACATGTATTTGGCCCACATTATTGAAGTCCCCACGATTGTTATATATATGATATCTTCAAACAAAGATCTAATAAAATGCCCAAACCTGCCATTTAAATTATGACATTCGTTGTTTTGGAACATGTCCCATGCCAGCTGATGATGCTTGTGTTCCAGTAGGTTAAAATCATGATTTTACAGTTACAACATGTAAATGGTGCTTTTGTATGCTATTCAGTTTCATAGTATTAATTCATATTTGATAGAACTAACAGATTGCATTTATTTTGTTTCATTGCTTAAACTGCAGCAGTCCCGAAGTGAGAGGATGTGTACAGCAGTACAAAGGGAGATGAGTTATGATCAGAGTGATCAGTGGTTAGAAATTATTACAGGATACACTGTAGTTGACAATTTTTATGGAATTTTTATGAAATTCTTTTTATTTGGTTATTGTGCATTACATTACCATTCCTGAAATGTAAGTGATCATGATTGAACTGTGTTGGTTTGGTGGTTGTTTTGAGAGAATTCTATATATTACCCTAATAGCTGGGAACGTCTCAGCACTAGCACCTGTACTTGGTAGGCTGAGAATGTGACCACCTCTTTTATAATTAACCCTTTCACCCCTATGTAACTTTAGTAAACTCGACCATGCATTGATCTGGACGAGTCCATTATGGTTCACAGTGGTGAAAGGGTTAAAGGTTTTCTTACTTTCACAACACTAACACTTTTTCTCCATCTTTACTACATGTAATTTTTGTTTTCGTCTTGTTTTTCCCAAACTCTTGTCTGTTTAAACCTGTGAAATGTAAAGTATTGCTATCGGAATGCTTTGTGTTTTACATACAGAAGTATTACAATAACACAATAAGGTGCATTTTTATTTTTTGTGTATATAAGCATTTTAAACCATGGTATAAAAGTATGTGAATGATGGTGATGTATGATATTGTTAGTTTTATGTATATTTAAGTATACATAGGTGACTGAGAGACGTAGAAATGAACGAGAGACGTGAGTGTATATACTGCAGTATATATAGAAATGAACGAGAGACGTGAGGGTATATACTGCAGTATATATCGAAATGAACGAGAGACGTGAGTGTATATACTGCAGTATACATAGAAATGAACGAGAGACGTGAGTGTATATACTGCAGTATATATAGAAATGAACGAGAGACGCTGGTAATGGTTGAAGTATTTAATACTGAGGCATGACTGTAAATTATTTTGCATGTAAACATTATTTCCATAAAATTGATTTTTATTCCCAATATTAAAAATCTTATCCAAAAAATAAGTTTTGTTGTTTTCACCCAATACTAACAGAGAACAGTAACATTCTATAACTGATAATCATTTACAATAAATTGATATTGTATACCAGGATATTTTCACTAGTTTAATTTTCCTGTTTTTAACCCTTCATAATGAAGACATATTTATCAAGACAGCAAACATTTGTAAACAACAATAAACAAAGTAATTAAATGCAAAAGACAAATTTAATATTTGGCGAAAATGGATCTTACCGTCGAAGGGGGCAAATTTGACTGGACGAAAATTTCTCTGTATACAGTAATACAAGTTAGAAACGAAGATGCAGCATAGATAAGGGGGGAAATACTTATAAATATCTGACTGCCATGAAAGTGGGCAAGTGAGAATAGTTTGTTACCATTGACATCTTTTACTTAGTAATGGAAAGATTGAGTTTAGTTATACCCAGTAGGTGTCAAACAGCAGTCACAGGATCCTCTTGTATCAGAGTTTAGTTATACCCAGTAGGTGTCAGACAGAAGTCACAGGATCCTCTTGTATCAGAGTTTAGTTATACCCAGTAGGTGTCAAACAGAAGTCACAGGATCCTCTTGTATCAGAGTTTAGTTATACCCAGTAGGTGTCAGACAGAAGTCACAGGATCCTCTTGTATCAGAGTTTAGTTATACCCAGTAGGTGTCAAACAGAAGTCACAGGATCCTCTTGTATCAGAGTTTAGTTATACCCAGTAGGTGTCAAACAGAAGTCACAGGATCCTCTTGTATCAGAGTTTAGTTATACCCAGTAGGTGTCAAACAGAAGTCACAGGATCCTCTTGTATCAGAGTTTAGTTATACCCAGTAGGTGTCAAACAGAAGTCACAGGATCCTCTTGTATCAGAGTTTAGTTATACCCAGTAGGTGTCAAACAGAAGTCACAGGATCCTCTTGTATCAGAGTTTAGTTATACCCAGTAGGTGTCAAACAGAAGTCACAGGATCCTCTTGTATCAGAGTTTAGTTATACCCAGTAGGTGTCAAACAGAAGTCACAGGATCCTCTTGTATCAGAGTTTAGTTATACCCAGTAGGTGTCAAACAGAAGTCACAGGATCCTCTTGTATCAGAGTTTAGTTATACCCAGTAGGTGTCAAACAGAAGTCACAGGATCCTCTTGTATCAGAGTTTAGTTATACCCAGTAGGTGTCAAACAGAAGTCACAGGATCCTCTTGTATCAGAGTTTAGTTATACCCAGTAGGTGTCAAACAGAAGTCACAGGATCCTCTTGTATCAGAGTTTAGTTATACCCAGTAGGTGTCAAACAGAAGTCACAGGATCCTCTTGTATCAGAGTTTAGTTATACCCAGTAGGTGTCAAACAGAAGTCACAGGATCCTCTTGTATCAGAGTTTAGTTATACCCAGTAGGTGTCAAACAGAAGTCACAGGATCCTCTTGTATCAGAGTTTAGTTATACCCAGTAGGTGTCAAACAGAAGTCACAGGATCCTCTTGTATCAGAGTTTAGTTATACCCAGTAGGTGTCAAACAGAAGTCACAGGATCCTCTTGTATCAGAGTTTAGTTATACCCAGTAGGTGTCAAACAGAAGTCACAGGATCCTCTTGTATCAGAGTTTAGTTATACCCAGTAGGTGTCAAACAGAAGTCACAGGATCCTCTTGTATCAGAGTTTAGTTATACCCAGTAGGTGTCAAACAGAAGTCACAGGATCCTCTTGTATCAGAGTTTAGTTATACCCAGTAGGTGTCAAACAGAAGTCACAGGATCCTCTTGTATCAGAGTTTAGTTATACCCAGTAGGTGTCAAACAGAAGTCACAGGATCCTCTTGTATCAGAGTTTAGTTATACCCAGTAGGTGTCAAACAGAAGTCACAGGATCCTCTTGTATCAGAGTTTAGTTATACCCAGTAGGTGTCAAACAGAAGTCACAGGATCCTCTTGTATCAGAGTTTAGTTATACCCAGTAGGTGTCAAACAGAAGTCACAGGATCCTCTTGTATCAGAGTTTAGTTATACCCAGTAGGTGTCAAACAGAAGTCACAGGATCCTCTTGTATCAGAGTTTAGTTATACCCAGTAGGTGTCAAACAGAAGTCACAGGATCCTCTTGTATCAGAGTTTAGTTATACCCAGTAGGTGTCAAACAGAAGTCACAGGATCCTCTTGTATCAGAGTTTAGTTATACCCAGTAGGTGTCAAACAGAAGTCACAGGATCCTCTTGTATCAGAGTTTAGTTATACCCAGTAGGTGTCAAACAGAAGTCACAGGATCCTCTTGTATCAGAGTTTAGTTATACCCAGTAGGTGTCAAACAGAAGTCACAGGATCCTCTTGTATCAGAGTTTAGTTATACCCAGTAGGTGTCAAACAGAAGTCACAGGATCCTCTTGTATCAGAGTTTAGTTATACCCAGTAGGTGTCAAACAGAAGTCACAGGATCCTCTTGTATCAGAGTTTAGTTATACCCAGTAGGTGTCAAACAGAAGTCACAGGATCCTCTTGTATCAGAGTTTAGTTATACCCAGTAGGTGTCAAACAGAAGTCACAGGATCCTCTTGTATCAGAGTTTAGTTATACCCAGTAGGTGTCAAACAGAAGTCACAGGATCCTCTTGTATCAGAGTTTAGTTATACCCAGTAGGTGTCAAACAGAAGTCACAGGATCCTCTTGTATCAGAGTTTAGTTATACCCAGTAGGTGTCAAACAGAAGTCACAGGATCCTCTTGTATCAGAGTTTAGTTATACCCAGTAGGTGTCAAACAGAAGTCACAGGATCCTCTTGTATCAGAGTTTAGTTATACCCAGTAGGTGTCAAACAGAAGTCACAGGATCCTCTTGTATCAGAGTTTAGTTATACCCAGTAGGTGTCAAACAGAAGTCACAGGATCCTCTTGTATCAGAGTTTAGTTATACCCAGTAGGTGTCAAACAGAAGTCACAGGATCCTCTTGTATCAGAGTTTAGTTATACCCAGTAGGTGTCAAACAGAAGTCACAGGATCCTCTTGTATCAGAGTTTAGTTATACCCAGTAGGTGTCAAACAGAAGTCACAGGATCCTCTTGTATCAGAGTTTAGTTATACCCAGTAGGTGTCAAACAGAAGTCACAGGATCCTCTTGTATCAGAGTTTAGTTATACCCAGTAGGTGTCAAACAGAAGTCACAGGATCCTCTTGTATCAGAGTTTAGTTATACCCAGTAGGTGTCAAACAGAAGTCACAGGATCCTCTTGTATCAGAGTTTAGTTATACCCAGTAGGTGTCAAACAGAAGTCACAGGATCCTCTTGTATCAGAGTTTAGTTATACCCAGTAGGTGTCAAACAGAAGTCACAGGATCCTCTTGTATCAGAGTTTAGTTATACCCAGTAGGTGTCAAACAGAAGTCACAGGATCCTCTTGTATCAGAGTTTAGTTATACCCAGTAGGTGTCAAACAGAAGTCACAGGATCCTCTTGTATCAGAGTTTAGTTATACCCAGTAGGTGTCAAACAGAAGTCACAGGATCCTCTTGTATCAGAGTTTAGTTATACCCAGTAGGTGTCAAACAGAAGTCACAGGATCCTCTTGTATCAGAGTTTAGTTATACCCAGTAGGTGTCAAACAGAAGTCACAGGATCCTCTTGTATCAGAGTTTAGTTATACCCAGTAGGTGTCAAACAGAAGTCACAGGATCCTCTTGTATCAGAGTTTAGTTATACCCAGTAGGTGTCAAACAGAAGTCACAGGATCCTCTTGTATCAGAGTTTAGTTATACCCAGTAGGTGTCAAACAGAAGTCACAGGATCCTCTTGTATCAGAGTTTAGTTATACCCAGTAGGTGTCAAACAGAAGTCACAGGATCCTCTTGTATCAGAGTTTAGTTATACCCAGTAGGTGTCAAACAGAAGTCACAGGATCCTCTTGTATCAGAGTTTAGTTATACCCAGTAGGTGTCAAACAGAAGTCACAGGATCCTCTTGTATCAGAGTTTAGTTATACCCAGTAGGTGTCAAACAGAAGTCACAGGATCCTCTTGTATCAGAGTTTAGTTATACCCAGTAGGTGTCAAACAGAAGTCACAGGATCCTCTTGTATCAGAGTTTAGTTATACCCAGTAGGTGTCAAACAGAAGTCACAGGATCCTCTTGTATCAGAGTTTAGTTATACCCAGTAGGTGTCAAACAGAAGTCACAGGATCCTCTTGTATCAGAGTTTAGTTATACCCAGTAGGTGTCAAACAGAAGTCACAGGATCCTCTTGTATCAGAGTTTAGTTATACCCAGTAGGTGTCAAACAGAAGTCACAGGATCCTCTTGTATCAGAGTTTAGTTATACCCAGTAGGTGTCGGACAGAAGTCACAGGATCCTCTTGTATCAGAGTATCTGTTTGAAATGACTCATTCACTTTAGATATAATAAACGAAACAGAATACATGGCTCAAGTTCATTGCTCAGTCCAACTTGTCGATGTCGGCTGCTACGAACTAATCAGTAATAAAACAGGAAATATATTGAATTTTATACTATCGTCGTTGGTAAATTGCATTGACCATCATTCCAAATGGCAGCAAGCAGTTTCCGTGATACTTTTGTCGATTTTGTTTCAAAAGGCAGTTTGAAATTATGCCATGGTGTAGCATCCATCTTCCATCGATCACGTCTCCTTTTAGAGTATAAGTTGTCGGTAACGCATGAAGTGCTTTGACGATATCTTAAAATAACAGAATGAAGTGACTTTTAAATCATTAAATTCAGAGGATTGACTCATTTACCCCTAAAGACACATTTGAAGGCCTCAAATTCAAAGGTTGGAATAGTCCATTATGAAGTTTCAGGAGTTAAATGAGTTCAAGGTTGTTTGTTCCAAACGGGAAGAAATCAAAACATATCTATCAGTTCAAATGGATCTCTCTCTTGAAGTGAACACATCCTCAATACTAGCAAGGAGAATGACAGCATACATGGCCAAGAACTGGATGATAAAACCCATGCCAAGAAATAATGAGTGGTTGGATTCTCGAGAAGCAGAGAACAT